CGCGCATGCTGGCCACGCTGTACAAGGATGAGCGCAGCTCGCGGCTGGACGTCTTCTCGTTCCTCGAAAAGGTCTACCTCGAGAGGATCCTGCGCAGGTGAGGCCTGCGCGCGATCTCGGGGCGCTCGCAACCTCGGCCGCCAGTGTGGCCATTCACACGATGTCGTGTGTAATTCAGCCCCTTTCACCAACGCACCACCATACACACATGACGCCGCCGCCACGCGAGCGCCCCCGCCATCCCCTTACCAGCCGCACCTCATTCGCACCGCCGTGCACACCTCCTGTGTGCCCCTCCGCCCCACCTGCACCCCCCCCTGAACCGCAACCGGATGCGTGCTACCAACCCCTCCTCCCGCCGCCCCAACCGGCTGCCGCGCCCCCCCCCTTCCCCCCAAATAAGGGACGAGGTGGAGCTGTTTGGCGGCACCCTGAAGCCCCACCAGCGCGCGCTGCTGCCAGACAGCACCACCGTGCTGGACCGCGCCGTGATGCAGCACAACCTGCTGGCGGCCAGCAAGCTGTACAACAACATTTACGTGGAGGTGGGCTTTCTGGCGGACGAGCCTATTATGAATACAGGATTAAGGTTCCACAGTATCATGTAGGTGTTCAGGAGGGTTGAGGGTCAGCGGAGATTCAAGTCCAAGTCGGTCAGAGCAGTTGGTTAACCCCTGGACAATGGAATGCCAGACACGATACCATGCGTTGCAGGGAGGCTGACTCAGCAATCCGTTGAGGGGGTGTCCAGATCGCGCTGCGTCGAGGCTACCGCGCACCCACGCCTGCCACACTGCAAGCCACCGCATCAATCGACTTGTGCATAATAAGCCGCCGCCTCTGGCCGCACCCACCCACCCTGCTTTCATGTCAACGTTCATATCCCCTGCTAGAGCCTGCCCTTGCCTGAAATTCCCCCCTTGCACGAGTGTGCGCACATGCACGCACGCGCACGCGTGCACACACACACACACACACACACACACACACACACACACACACATCCACACAGACTCCCACACACAAACACAAACACAAACACACACACGCCCCTCCCCAGGAGCTTGGTGCGCTGCTGGGCGTGACCCCCGAGAGGGCGGAGCAGGTGGCGGCGGACATGATGCAGGAGGGGCGCCTGCAGGGCTCCATTGACCAGGTGGGGTTCAGGCAGCGGCCAATAGGGACTTTTTGAGACCACGTTGAGCCCGTTTTGCAAGGAGTCTGTGTTCGCAGGAGGGGGTGTGGCGGGAGGCAGTTTCGTTGAAAGACCGAGGGGCGCCCCAGCATGTGCGCATTCCGTTGTGTATCTGCAGCTGACAAGATTGGAACCGAGGGTTGTGTCGCGGCGCCGGCGGCCCTCCGAGCGGCGGCTGCCTCCCGTGGCGCGCAGCTGCATGCGGCGCAGCTGCGGGAGCGCCACGCCTCCCGCCCACATTCAGGGCTTTCTGGGCCGCCGCTGAGTCGCAAACCGGGAGGTACATCGCACGCATGTCGAGTTTCCTGTCCGTCCGCTTCCCCGCTGCCCCGCGCCGCCAGGTGGCGTCCCTGATCCACTTTGCGGACCGCGAGGAGCCCCTGGTGCAGTGGGACGCGCGCATCAAAGCGCTCTGCTGCCGCGTGAACGACATAGTGGACGCGTTCACAGAGCACGCGGAGGCGTCGGCAGCAGCGCGCGGAGGCGGCGGCGGCGGCGGCGGCGTGGGGGGGCTGGCGGCGATGGCGACGAGCTGAGAGGGGCCAGGGGGTTGCGTGTGTGGATTTGCAGCTGGCGGGCGCGGCGTCGGGGGCGGGGGCCGGGGACCGCAGCGGATGCAGATCGGTGGCGTGGCGGCGTTGACGCGCTTGGAGGACGTGCACAGTTTTTGGATTGGACGTGGCTGTGTTCAGCAGTTGGTTCGCATCAGGGCATATGTGGCATAGCCCACCGACCCTGGTGGCTGGGTTGTAAAAAACCATGCTAGGATCTGTTGCGGACGGCAGCCATGCCATGAGCAGCGACAGAGCAGCTGATTTGCGAGGCCGGGTGAGCCTCGAGCCGCGAGAGCGCGCCTGCTGGCGACGCCACACCCGCAACACAACATGTGGCGATGCACCCCTCGCAGCCGCCTGTCACCCCGCAGGCAGCGGCGATCTAGCTGGTGCAAGCGGAGGATGGAGTGCAGGCAGCAGGCCCACACTGTGGTGAGTGGGGCTTGCAGAGGGTTAGGAGGTCTGGTGTTGATGTACATATAAAGGGCAGACAAATCTGCCCTTCTGGGTGCGCTGGCGCGGCCCGGGTTTGCGGGTGCCGCCTCCCCTTCCCTGTTGCTGGTTTGCAGCTGAAGCTGGGCCAGATTGGTCAAACGTGCAAGTTTGCAGAGCGCGCACTGGTGGCCTGCACGCTTATCAGATGTTTCAAATAGGTTCTTTTATTGTTTATCTGGTTCAACTTTGAGGCGTGCCTTTTTGGTGGTCGCGCTCTGTCGAGCTCGCAGCGAGCCGCTCTCGCCATACACCACTCGATCGGAGCAGGGCGCTCTGCAGATGTGTTGAGATCATCAAATTTTGTCTCTTTGAGTAGCGGGTTGTGGTGCAGTGGAGAGCTCGTTCGTTGCAGTGCGCGCGCCAAATGCCGCCACGCGTGCGCAAGCCGTACTGCGGGCGTTGTAGATCTACCAGCTTGCTACGGCCGGCGCCGCAGCGGCCGGCGACCTCGGGCAGCGCACAGCCTGTGGAATGGGAGAGCGCGGCGCGGTCACGCCGGCAGACGGCTGGCACGCGGAGCGCGCGGACGGCTGGCAAGCAGCCGCGCCGTTCGCCATGCAGCTCGGCGGCGGGCCCCTGAGCAACTTCTTTGCGCCGCCCGCGCCGCGCCCTGACGGCTCCGCGCTAGGCCTGGGTGCCGGCGGCGCGCGCGGCGCAGCAGGGCCCACAGGGGCGCCGGCCGGCCAGCACGGCGCTGCAAGCGCCTGGACGTTCCAGGCAACTTTCGGCCTCAACGCAGTCGGCGTTCGTGGCGGCGCCGGCGCCGGCGGCGACGCCGGCATCGGCGACGGCGGTACGTTGGAGCGGCGCCCGGGGAAGCGGGGTGCTGGTGACTACGGCGCAGACGCGGCGGGGGCGGGCGGTGGTTACGGCGCCAGAGATGCCGCAGCGCCCCCATCCCTGCCGCCGGGCTTTGGGCGCGGCTCGGGCTGGGGCTCGCAGCTGGGCGCTGCTGCAGTGGAGCACTATGGCGCCGACGGCGGCGCCGACGGCCGAGGCCGCGGCGGCAGTCCCAGTCGTGAGTACGGCCGCCGGCTCCGCGGCGGTGACGAGCGAGGTCTTGAGGACAAGGGCAGGGGCGCAAGCAGCAGCCCCGACGGCGCCGAGCGCGGCCGGGGTGCCGCCCTCGGCCATGGCGCTGACGCGCGTGGGCGCGTAAACAGCCGCAGCCGCAGCAGGGAGCGGGGCCCTCGCCGCAGCAACCCTGCGACGCAGAGGCGCGAGCGCGCCATCAGCGGCGGCAGCGGCGACGAGGCGGCCGAGCGCGGCAGGGACGATGGCCGCGCAGCGCTTGGCGAGCGGCGGCCACGCAGCGCAGGCGGGGCGGGCGGGGCGGGCGGCGTTTACGGCGCCAAATATGCCGCGGCGCTCCCGTTCCTGCCGCCGGGCTTCGGGCGCAGCCGGAACTCGCAGCTGCCGGGCGCTGCTGCCGCGCCCAGCAGCGAAGACGACGATGATGATTTCGACCGCGGCGGCGGCAGCCCCGGCCGTGAGCACGGCCGCCGGCGCCGCGGCGGCGACGACGAGAGCCGTGAAGCATTTGGGGGCAGGCGCGCAAGCGGTAGCCCCGACAGCGCCGAGCTTGGCCGGGTTGCCGCCCACGGCCCAGGCGCAGGCGCGTCGGGGCGCATCAAGAGCCGCAGCCGTGGCAGGGACCATCGCCGCCGCAGCCCCGAGGTGCAGAGGCGCGAGCGCGCCGATGGCGACAGCGATGGCAACGCGGCGGCCGAGCAAGGTAGGGGCGACAGCCGCGGGCCGCTGGACGCGCGGCGGCCGCGCAGTGCGGGCGGGGCGCTCGGGGCGGGCGGCGTTTATGTCGCCAGATATGCAGCGGCGCCCCCGTCCCTGCCGCCGGGCTTTGGGCGCGGCTCGGGCTGGGGCTCGCAGCTGGGCGCTGCTGCAGTGGAGCACTGTGGCGCCGACGGCGGCGCCGATGGCCGCGGCCGCGGCGGCAGTCCCAGCCGTGAGTACAGCCGCCAGCGCCGCGGCGGCGGCGACGCGCGCGATCGCACAGCCGAGGGCAGGGTCGCAGGCGGCAGGCCCGACAGAGGCGAGCACGGGCGCCGTGGCCGCAGCCCCGAGGCACGGCGGCGCGCCGACGGCGACGGCGACGAGGCATCCGAGCGTGGCAGGGTTGCCGGCCGCCGGCTGCTGGATGCGCGGCGGCTGCGCAGCGCGGGCGGCGGGGGCGGGGCGGGCAGTGGCGGCGACGAGTCCAGCGCAGACAGCGAGCGTGAGGGCGAGCAGCGCGCTCGCAAACAGCGCCCAGGGGAGGGCGCGATGCCGCAGCAGCAGCCGAAGGGAGAGCAGGCCGACCGCGGCAAAGCCGACGAGGAACCCCCGCAGCGGCAGCAGGAGCTGCTGCAGGCACCCCCACAGCAGCAGCAGCAGCAGCAGCAGCAGCCGGGCCTTGCTCAGGCTTGGATGCAAGCCGACGGTCCTGTCAGGGCACTGGAGGCCGCGCTCAGGAGCAGCCAGGAGGGCCTTGGTCCCCTGCTGCCCGGAGATGCAGGGCAACTGCAGGAACAGCTGTCAAAAAGGGCCGAGACGGTGAAACTGACGAGCTTCGACAACGCCAAGCTGCGGCTTCAGAATGAAACAGTCAGGGTGAAGTGGGGGCCAAAAGGGCAAACCCACAGTGTCTGCCCGGTGGCAGTCGCCGGCGGCTCCCGGGTGGACGTGCTGCTGTGCAAGCGGGACAAGACTTTCGAGGTCCACAAGTTTCGGCTGCGGGTCCTTTTCCACGTGAGGCACGACGGACATGCGCTGGCCGTGCGCGTGCACGTGCGTGCATGTGCGCGTGTGTGTGTGCGTTTGCGTGTGTGCGTGTGTGTGCGCGCGCGCGTGTGTGTACGTGTGTGTGTGTGTGGAAACGGCTGTTCTAGTGCTAGTGCTAGTTGACTTGCCTAGCAAAACGTCAGTGTCCAATGTCATTTCCCGCACTTCCCTTTTTAACTCCAGGGCCGACTGCTGGACATGCAGACCACGTGCACCCGCAAGTGCGAAGCCAAGAGCCTGGCGTGCCTCATGCTGCTGCAGGAACTGTTCAGCCCGCCCGACATCGCCCGGTCGGCCCTTCGCAACTTCGTGCCGCCTGTGAACATGGGGCGAGATGAATTGAGCAGGATGGCCAGCGTATTTGCGAGGGCTGTGGGCGGCACGCGGGTGGGCCTGCCGCCGCCGCCGCCGCCGCAGCTGCTGCAGCAGCAGGAGCAGGAGCAGGAGCAGTAGCAGGAGCAGCACGATGGTGAGGAGCCGAAGGATGTTGACGAGATGGAGGCGGAGTGAGTGATGAGGGGCAGTGGAGGGTGCGGTCAGCAAGGTTTGGTACGAGGTGGTGCGGCATGGAGTGGTGCGTTGCTTGCGACAGTCGAGCAACATTTGACTTCTTCGCAGCGGTGGGGGCCGGTGGAGAGTTCTGCGTGCGGCAAAGCGTGGCCGGCAAAGCGTGGCGCGGCGGGCAGGGAGCAGGGTTCGGGGAAGCGGGAGGTGCGCGATGCGTGTGTGGGTGCCGTACGGGCCAACAATGGGGCTGCAGTAGGCCCAGGGGCGGGGGTGAATGTCGTTGTAATGTCCTGCGCGAATGACCGGTCGAAGTGGCGCTGGGCAGCTGTGGTGCGAGGCCGGCCATAAACGGGACATGTTCGGTCGCAGTTGGGATTTGGTGTGCCTGCGCTTAGGCGGTTTGCGTAGTGTTACTGCTGAACTCGCATGCCTTGCTGGATGAGAGCGGCTGGTGCATAGGTATTCAGGGCGGTTGATCCACAATTGTGCATAGTGAGCGCTCACCGTCCATCATCAGGCCTGCTATCACGTACCTTTCATCTGTACAATGCTCACCGCAGTCGACAAATAAGACAGACTTGCCAACAGCAGCAGGTGTGGCCGCAATCAACGGCATATTGCGGAGTGGAGTTGAATTTACTGGCCGTGCTCAAGTGGTGGCGTGCAGGACTGCGGATATTCAACCCTTCCACTTGCGAGTTGAGCATGCAGAGGCCAAGGTTGCAAAGACGTATGCAAAGGCAGGAAACAGGGTCAAACAGGGCACTCTAGAGGGATGAGCGCTTGTGGTCAGCTCACAGCACGTGCCCCGGATCCAGCACACGCGGCATGACCGCAGTCGGTCCAATCATCGCACGGTCAACAAGTCAATGCCAAGTGCGCAAATTGCATCTGCTCAACGGTCGGCCCCGGTATACATATAATTGTGACAATATATTATGATATACGACACCATGTAAGCAACTCTTGCGTTCTCTGGCTTCTTTCATGATTCTTCAATCTGGAAACTGCCACCACTTTCGACTTTCAGCGTCTCTCTCATCAAACCACTATTTGAATATTTTGAAGGTTTTGCGCGGCAAACCAAACAGTGAGATTCGCGCTTCTGTGCTTAGAGCCACTAGCGCATTGTTACAGCGACGTGCTGCTCCTTGCGCTGTGCTCTTGAAGCATCAAAACACTCGATAGAATGATGGACTGCACTGGTAGTGGCAGGCGGCAAGGGATCGGGGTGAGCTCTGCTTGCTGCGTGCCAAGCGGGACGTGCGCTGTCGCCGGTGCGGCTGCTCGCGCTGCAGCATACATGTAACAGGGGGATAAATGTTTGTTGCAGCGATCAGCGACCATGCACGCACCTTCAGCATGTCCCCCCATTTGACTCATGCCCTGCTGGTGGCTACGGCAGTGCGCCAGACGAGGCAGCTGTCGCGTCGGCGCCGCCCCGGCGCGTCATCTCAGGGTCTCGTCGACACAAGCGGGCTGGGCGCAGGTCAACTGCCAACGAGGGGCTTGCGTCAGGTGAGGGGCTCGCTGGGTGTTGAGAATGGAGAGAAGGCGCGGGGGCTGGAGCTCAGCGGTGTGTATGTACACGTGCGCGCGCGCCGCGCGCGTGCGTGTGTGTGTGTGTGAGATTGTGTGTGTGTGTGTGTGTGTGTTTGTGCATGCCTCAGCGTATGTTTGTGTGTGTGCGTGTGTGTTTGTGTGTGTGTGTGTGTGTGTGTGTGTGTGTGTGCTCGAGTGCGTGCCCCTTT